GACTCAATTTCATGTATAACTTAGTGAAAATTCTTTACATATTACCTCAAAAATCAAAAAAGTACTGACTCAAGTTCATGTATAACTGAGTGAAAAAAGTCTCTACATATTACCTAAAAAAATGAAAGTAATCTGACTCAATTTCATGTATAACTGAGTGAGAAAAATACTTTTTATATATCACCTCAAAAAATTATTCAAGTCGCCAAGTTCCATATACTCGAATACCATCATTAGGGGGTCTCCGTCTACCGATACGCCATAGAAACGAACAATGTTGTCGTGACTTAGATTTGCCAGCAGCTGAGCTTCACGAGTAAAGTTTATCCAAGCTTCTTCGTGGTCAATGTCTTTCAGGGTTTTCACAGCCACCATTGTGGTAGGCTCTTCTCGCGTCAAGTAGTCCACTGTTCCCAAGTATACACGCCCAAAGGCACCTTCACCGAGAACTTGAATGAAACTTATCTTCTCTTGAGCTATGTAACGAATTTCTACAAATAACAGTAATAAACAAAACCGATCTTATCCAAGTTTATGAAGCGGATTTCTACAAATAACAATAATAAAGAAAACCGATCTTATCCGAGTTTATGAAGCGGATTTCTACAAATAACAGTAATAAACAAAACCGATCTTATCCGAGTTTATGAAGCGGATTTCTATAAATAACAGTAATAAAAACAGCTCTTATCCGAGTTTATGAAGCGGATTTCTACAAATAACAGTAATAAAAACAGATCTTATCCGAGTTTATGAAGCGGATTTCTACAAATAACAGTAACAAACAAAACTAATCTTATCTGAGTTATGAAGCAAAGTTCTATAAAGAAGTTTTATACCGAACCTTTTTTTTTCTTAATTATGTAGTGAATAAAACATTTTTCCTTTTTTTCTTAAAGAACAATAGCAAATTAAACGTAATTTGTAAATAAATTCAAATATATCTATTATACGAAGCTAGAGATAATTTAGTAAATTATGGATAAACGATTTGTGCTGGTTATCGTCAATTTATTGAAGACTATAAACACGCTATCTGTTTAGCTCTTGAAACGACATAGTTTCTCGAAATATTCTCAGGATACGATGCCAAGCAAGTAGCGAATTGTCTTATTTCTCTAAAATAAATAATATATAATAAGAAAAAGCTACAGGTGTGTGTAAATTAAATAAGGTCTATATAACAAAACTTCAATTATTTGTCTTTTTTCAGTGTCCTTTATTAAATCAGTTTCGTGGCAATTTAAAAATTGAATTCATTTTATTTTATACTTCAATTTTATCCACCCACCCTCCGCCAAAGTGGCTCAGCGGTAATGCTTATACACCCACTGACTGAATTCATAATTATTTTTATTATAAATATTGCTTCAAAATTCTATTATTCGGTTTGACTTCTTAATATATAATAATGGCCAACTTTTCCTTGAATTAATGAATGGTCTTATTAAAAATATATGCAAATTATACCTATGGTATGGAACAGAATTAATTGCGTAGAACTACCTAAACCTTTAGTTCTATACCTTTAAATGTTACATCACCAGACGAGCTGCAGTAGTTTGGGTTTATTAGCACTTTTCGAGAGTTTAAGGGCATTCCTTGTCGAAGCTCAATGTCTTCGTTTATCTTCTTATCATTAGAACTGAAACAGCAGGGCCACACGTGAATATTCAGGTCCATACACCGGTCTTCATCATAATGCATTCGCCTCTTCCGCCGCTGAATAAAACAGACGGTCCCCACCAGCACCAAGATAATGGACACAGTCGTGATGGTGAGACTCAGTGGGAGCTAAAATTAAATTTCATACCTTAGTGCAAGTTTCTCAACGGTAAATTAATGCCAAATATTCAAGTTGAGTAGAAATTTGAAATATTGTTAATTTTCAAATAATTGCTCAAACCAGTTAGTGCTAGCAGCATAGTAATTAATAGACATGATTACTTAAAGTCTTCAGTCTACGGCATAAACCGTAACGACAGAGTCACAAACTACGTTAAACAACATTTTATTTTAATCTTCGCAATGACACAGTTAGTTTGTAATGGTGCACGCAGTAATTCAAAACTTCTAATACAGTCCTGGGCACCTGATGAAATGTTGAGAACATTAATAGAATTTGTGTGTTATTATTACGAGCTATATTCACGTACAGAATTATAGCAAAGGAATGTCGATTATCACAAAGTATGGTATGTAAACTGACGACCTCCAGGGAGTGCGATGAAGAGGTTAGCAATCGAGTCTGACATTCCCATGTCACCCCTACGTGCTCCCATATCTTTCCCGTGCGCTGAACAAGTATATCAGTTAGTATTAGATATTTTATAGCTACGTAAAATTGTGTGGTGTAAGTAACTAAACAAAACACTTTTATAAATGGCTACTGGAGACGTAAGTATAAAAAAGAACTAGAAAAGGGGTGTTGAACTTAAATTTAGGATGTTACCTCCACCTCACTGCAAACCCCAGTGTAAATGCTTCACGCACTTCACAAGCTCAACCACCAGCATTCGAAAGAAAGAAAGTGAGGCTCCACCACATTTAAAAACCCAGTCCCCCTTCTTTTATGAGGAGGTAAAAAAGTCTGAAGATATTGAATGTGTTTTTTAAATAAGATAGAGGAAACGGAGCATATTTCAGGCTGGACAGACATACAACAAAGTGCATATTTTAAGAAACATAACTGCGTGAGAGGCAAAGCGGTGTAAAAGGGCAAATGAATAGTTAAGATTAATTCATTTCACGTCTTCGGGGTACTAAGGGACACAGTATTAACAGAATCATGGCTAATACGACCATGAAACAAATAATCATGCTGACCCAACAAAGAGGAGAGCACGTCAGCGTATTTGTGCATAAGTGACAACAATTAGGTAGCATATTAAAACAAGCTTACGCGAAACCAAATGAACTAACGATAGAAGACGAATTAAAGACTAATTCTTAGAGAGTTTTAATTAGTAATCTAATTAAGTTGAATGGAAATGAAGATAATACTCTCAAAGTCACATCATTAGACTTGATAGAAGTAACTTCAAAAGAAGAACTTAGAGAAAAGCCCATATAAGAACCTCGTCGTTTTCAATTCAGTAATTAAACGAAAACAGTAACAAAATAGTTAAATAGAAAAAAGTAGCTTGTGAAGAAGAAAACGTAAAACATTAAATGTCTTACATACGATTTTCAAAGGCACATTACTAAACATTGATGTTACAATCGTACTATACTCGCACTTCGTTTTTCTTTCTTATGTCCATTAACTATATTTAAGTTATACTTATTATTATTAGGAATTTACGCATACCAGCGTAAATATGACAAACTCTTAAATGATCAGTAACACGTAGATTTAAATATAAGTTTCGTTTCCTACTGGCAGCATATTACTTTCTTCCCTCGCCTCTCTCCGTTCATTCGTTCTCTCTCACACCTCTCGGTCTTTTCATAGGTCTTGTAGTCTCCATACACGCTGAACTTAGAAACGCGGCCGCTGTACCCGTTTATTCCAATGACTTAGAGTAATTTAATCCCCTAATTCCTTAGAGACTACCAAAAGTTGGCTTCTTTCTCACGCTCTCACAACTCCAACCAATGTCATAGCAACTGCTATGAAAATAAAGAGGGCTGAACTTGTTAAAATGAAGTCCATAAGGCCAATGATATAACAAATTATAGCAAAAGCAACATAAGTCAATTTGGAACAATGCAAGAGAACTAGAAGTAGTTGAGAGAGTAATTGTTAATAGGTCAAAGAATGCATGTATAGCAGGGATGATGTTAATAGGGTCTCCTAATTCTAGTCAAAATCCCAAAAATGTACAATGGCGTTTAACTGTACTAGATTGCAAAAGCCTAGATTCTTAGAAGATTGTTTGTTCTATTTCAGTAGCAACATTCATGGGCCACAAAACCCTCCCCACCCCCCACCAACTGTGAAACCCTAAAACTGTACCTGATGCGTGGTGCGAATAAGATTTGTCCAGTTGTTATTTTAATGATAGAGGGGATAGAATGATAGTTATTAACTGACACAGGCACTAGTTTTTATTGATTGCCACAGGCACTAGTTTTTATTGATTGACATAGGTACTAGTTTTTATTGATTGACATAAGTACTAGTTTTTATTGATTGACACAGGCACTAGTTTTTATCGATTGACACAGGCACTAGTTTTATCAATTGACACAGGCACTAGTTTTTATCAATTGACACAGGCACTAGTTTTTGTCAATTGACACAGGCACTAGTTTTTATTAATTGACACAGGCACTAGTTTTTATCAATTGACACAGGCACTAGTTTTATCAATTGACACAGGCATCAGTTTTCACTGCTAAGTGCAGACTTAATCGAAAAAAATTATTATTAAATAATGCCCGGAAGGAAGTTGCTAAAAGTATATTAACTTCTATAACAGAGCACGTGGATACTACATCAGTAGATATAGAGGATAAATGTAAATAAGGACCGGTGAGCTTATCAGAAGAATATAGAAATATATTTGGAAGAAAATACGATTCTAATGGTACAAATAAAGTAAAACATAAACTGACATTGACAAGTAGTATTCCTAAAGCACAGAAACCATATAGAGTGTTAAAGAAGCACTGAGAAGACTTTGAAGCATGCGTAAAAGAACAATGAATTATAGAAGACATGAGTCCTGGCACTGCACCTGTAGTTGTAGTTCCTAAAAAGATAGTTAAATAAACTTTTGTGTTGACTTAAGGGGGATAACTAAGGTAGCAGTTAAAGGTGGATATGCATTACCAAATATACTAGATATATTAGATGGATTAGGTCAGAGTAAGTATATTTTCTTCATGGACTTGCAAAGTGGGCCCACCAAATATGCTCGCCCTTTCAGCTGTGGGGGCATTATAATGTGACGGTCAATCCCACTATTCGTTGGTAAAAGAGTTGGCGGTGGGTGGTGATGACTAGCTGCCTTCCCTCTAGTCTTACACTGCTAAATTAGGGACGGCTAGCGCAGATAGCCCTCGTGTAGCTTTGCGTGAAATTCAAAACAAAACAAACTTGCAAAGTGTGTATTGGCTAGAGACGAAGATAAAACTGTTTTTATGTTGCCTTCAGGAAAGTATCAGTTTAATAATAGAATGCCTTTTATGTTACCTAAAGCCCTGTTAACATTCCAGAGATTAATGGCCACATCCATTCATTTGGTTTAGAACTGTCTTGAAATATTTAGGTTATTTAAGTCCTTCCAGCAAGTTTCGAGAAACACTTAGTGAGGTTGAAATGTATCTGATGAATTATAAGGAATAGATTTGAAATTAAAACCCTGTAACTGTCAATTTTTGAAGAAGGAAGTAGATTATCTAAGTCATGTGGTTGACCACCGATGTGTAAAACCAGATCCAATATAATTAAACATATTTAAAGATTATCCAAAGCCAATTACTTCAAAATATGTTAGGGCATTTTTAAGATTTGTAGAATTTTATACGAAGTTTATTCCACAGAACTGAGAAAGAATGATGTACCTTTTCAGCATTTGAGAAATGGAGAAATTCGTTACAACTGGCACCAATCTTGAGTTACTCAGATTTTAGTAAAAAGTTTATATTTAGTACAGACTTCTGGTTAAACACAGGAGCAGAATTGTCACAGTTAGATAAAGATGGAGTAGAACACCCATAGCATATCAAAGCAGACATCGGAGTAAAGCCGAGTTGAATCTATATAAATATAATAGTACTGTCTGTTGTGCGTCCATGTAACTACTTCACAGAGTGTGGATGAATCTTCACCAAAATTGGTATGGAAGTTCATTAGGTCAATGCGGGGGTACATACAAATTTTCAGTTTTGCATTTGGAGTTTTTATGGAATTTTTGCATTTTTTCCTCACTACTTTGTCCCCTGTAGATGGATCTTCACCAAATTTGGTATGAAAGCTCATTGTTTTTATGGGCGTTTTTGCGTTTTTTACAATTACATATAATGGAAGCAGCTTTTCATGTCCTACGATAACCTTTCATTAATCATGAATTTACATAACTTCCGTCCAGGAGACGAGTACTCCAACTAGTTATTCAATACAAAACAAGAATACTTAGCAGTAGTACATTGTATTAAGTTAGCTTTCGCTGTTACCTGTATATTTGGAAGGTTTACTATACTTACAGATCACACACCCTTACGGTGGTTAATGATACTACAATATACTCCTGAAAGATTAGTAAGGTGGTCATTGCTCTTACAGGACTGTGATTTTAAAGTAATACACAGCACAAGTTGAAAACAAACTAATGTAGAACTAGAGCAGTAGTCGCTTAACTAGCACAAAATACATGATTAACAAAATTACGAAAGTCGTCAAAATAGCTATGAAGTAGTTTGAAACATAGATAACGTTATTAACAAACAAATGAAAAAAGTAAAGTATTAAGAGATAGAGTAATACATGGAGAAGAAGCTGAGTATATACTAGATGCAGATGTGCTATGCAGTAAAGTAAAAATAGAGGAAACCTAAAAGTGTACCGCATATAGCAGTATCGTAAAATTTAAAACATAAAGTGATAAGTACATATGATACTCCATTCGCTGTCCATTTAGCTATTGTCAAAGTGTATAGTGTAATAAGGAAAAATTATTTTGACCTCTCTTACGAGAAAAAAAATGTTATGAGTTCCTGCGAATCATCTATCGAACGTACTAAATGGAGAACACACCCCTTACACAGAACTCCAAGTTTAAATGCACCATTTCAAATGATAGTCATGTATATTTTAGGTTCTTCACCGACGTCATACTTATGAAATGAATATATATTATCCGTTTCAGATTATTGAATTAGATTCTCAGAAGAACATAATGGTGAATCAAAAACCCAAAACAACAGCTGAAACTTTCGTAAATCAAGTTGTAAATGAACACGGAAATTCTATAGTATTTATTAACAGACATACGTACACAGTTTATTTCATAGTTAATGAAGGAAATGTGTAAGTTATCAGATGTAAAGAAAATACAATCACCCACAAATCTCCCAGCTGCTAATGGATTTATAGAGAGATTCAACAGAAACGTATTAGATATGTTATAACATATTTCCGTCCAATCAGAAAACATAGGACAAGCTAGTTTCTTTATTCGTTTTAGCTACTAGCAGTGCCATAAGAGAATCTATTCGGGCATGGCTCTTTTTCTACTATATAATAGAAATGTTATGTTACCAATGCAAGAAATATTAGCGCAACGGTAGATTAATTATGCATTAATTGAGGATTATAAACTATTAATGATGCAAAAAGAGGAAAAGGGGGAGAAACAGGCAAAAGGACAATGCAGAGTGATACAATTAACAATTATCGTAAAATTGGAATAAACAATATGTGCCTCGTGAGAGTAAACAAGTAGTATAACAGATTAGTGAAGGTTAGAGAAATAAACAAGATACATATTAAAAGATACTCGAAAGGCTGTTGTTGTTTCCTTCGTGCAAAGCTACACGCTAGGTTAACTGCACTCAATCCACCGCGAAGAATCAAAACCCAGAGCTTAGCATTATTTATCTATAAACGTACCACTGTTAGATGAACAAACACTTGAGAATAACTTAAGTATAAAGTGTAGTTACATGATGAATAAATCAAACCAAGATATGACGAACTTATTTATTTACATACTACCTGAAGACGCTAAAGTTTATTATAAATACAGAAGTTATAGCATTAGATACAAACCAGATTAGGGAAAAGAGTATAAGCACTAACCAGAGTGTAGCTGAGACAAAGTTCTGCAAGTACTAGTGAAGGGGAAACTGTCACGATCACCCACGGTTAACATTCAAGGTATCGAACATTAATAAGTGTATACACGAGATTCTTCAACTAGGAGACCTAGACATATTTTATTTGATCCACATATACATAAACACACTAAATCAGCAAAACGAACTAAACCAAATACCAGTGAAAGATAGTGGCTTCCTTGCGAGATTTTTGTGAGATTTAAAAGAATGTTGGATTACTTAATAGGAGAGTAATCTAATAAAATAAGTTAAAATAGTGTAATTGCAAATGTCAATCAAGTATAACCTACTAATTAGCAAGAATGAAGTTAATTACAATGTAACCAAGATGATAAGCATCCTCGTACTGATGTCAACGGTGAATGGAAGACTCCCTTGGACAGAAGAGGAGGTGCTACATGAAATTAAGATGAAATTACCTCACATTTGCAGTTTGTAATCCCGTGATGACAGGTATTATACTTGGGCTGATGCGAAGACTGGTGCTATGGAGAATATCTTAAGAATGTTTATTGATATAGCTTTAAAAGTAACACAGAGATTGTTTAAATTTTATAAAATAGTTCTCTTGCCAGTTGAGGTCAACAATTCCCAAACGTTAGTAACGAAAAGTATTATTTAGCTATTTCAATGGATCAACACACTTGATTAGAAATGGTTGACAATGAATTATTAAACTGTATTTGAGGACATATTTTGGTAACTCAAACTCAGGAATACATTCATTACGAATTCTATCATGTAATTGCGTATTACTTACGAGAGTACAACATAGAGTATCAGAGCTGTGGGAGTACAAGGATGACAATGGTTTTACATTTGTATATCTCAAACACCACGCATTTGGTTTGCTAATATTCAAGAGGAGTTAGCGTTATCTATCCACTGTGTGAAGTTAGGAGTACATCATTTTGATTATCAAACTGAAACTGATAAACTTAAAGGAAGTTATTACTTAAAATTCATTAGAAATCAATCACTAAAACAACCTGTTACATTCAATGGGTTAACGCGAATTCACTGAAACAATTATAATCCTAAAAAAAAACTAATGTTAGCGTTCTAGTAATTGCTAGATAATTAAATCTTTTGTGTTACTGAACAATCAGAAACATTTATTACACTTCTCTTAATATTTAAGTAAAACTTACTCTTCTCTACTTGCTTTACTTAAATTTTTTAAGCATATTCACCAAATATGAGTAGATGGCCCCTGCTTTGGAATCCAAATGGGCTTTGACAGTCGATGATAAGATTGGTGGTGGAAATGTTGGATGATTGATTAACTCGAAATCTGTATACGTAAGAACATACATTTCTTATTGATTACGTTTATTAAGACGGAATCTCAAAAACTAAAAATAAAAAAATCTTGTGTTTAGTTTTAATTAACTTTGTTTACAACATCAGCATCAAAATCCAGTTAATCACAACTAAATATTTAATCAATATAGACAAGGTGAAAAGTATATAAAACGATAAATGTAACCCTAGAAGTATATTAAAAGCTTATTGCTGAGACACATCTCATTCAATGAAAAGTCATTTTGAGCCCTTGTAGTTTATCAAGTTTTGTCATAAAACATATTATGTCAAAACGGAGCATTTTATATTTATTTTCTGTTATCCTAGGGGAAAAAAATGATAGAAAACATTAATTCATGTTAAATTGATATATCTACAAGTACAAGAAATTTGGTATCATCTCAGTTTGGAAAAAAAACTACAAATGCTTGGACAAGTTATATCGAAGTAGGAACAGTTTGAACCTGATTAGCTTTGGTTCAACACTGAAGGTTCAACATTTACCTTGACTTTTCGAAGACCATTAAAATATAAATTGTCGTATTTCGTGCTAATATTGATGTGAATGTTTCTTTTTTATTCTCAGAACAAAAACCAAACAAGAAGATGCTATAACGTTATCCAAGACAACCTGCAGGATATTATATATTGACAATAAAGATTAATTAGTAGCTATGTTAGTTTAATTAGAGAATGCCAAAAAATCCTCAAATAATTAGAAAAAAAATGGAATATTGTTTTTTATTTTTTTGGAATTTAGAGATAGTATTCTTATTTGTAGTTAAGCACAACGCTACACAATGGGCTATCTGTACTCTATCCACCACGGGTATCGAAACCCGGTTTCTATCAGTATAAATCCGCAGACATACCGCTACGCCATTGAAGGGTAAATTCTTTAGGTGTGGATGAAACATATTCTACCATTAAAATGTAGATATAAAAAAATCTTTATTACTTTTGGGATTTTACTTCCCGTTAAACGTACTTATTATCTATAATATATTTGGCTACTAAGTTTAATGTTTATCGAAATATTTTCAGATAGGTTTGTAACTCTTTATATTCGCATTCTTAAGCCTTACAGCAAAAAAAAAAACAACAAAAAACCCAAACCCGGATTCTAGCGTTGCAAGTCTACTGACATATCGTTGTACCACTGGGGGGTCAGATGGTATTATATAATAAAATAACTTGTATTATAAGTCACAAAATAAGTGGATAAAAAGATGTAAGATAAAAAACAAGCTCAGTCAAAGACCGTGCCCGTTTACCATTAAGAGATCACAGCTTAATCTGTAGATATAAATCCTGTTATTTAACGAGTATATATAAACAGCTCTTTTTTCAGATTATAAGAGTGAAAAAATCAATTATTTTATAAATAATTTGAGAAAGAATTATATTGGCATTAATTAAGCTTTAAAAATATTTGCTTTTGTCTCTTTTGGAGGGAATTGCTCATTATTGGTGACCGCTGAATACTAATAAAAATGAACTTGTGTATTTTTTATAAAAACATGTTAACAATTTGATGAGTTAACCGAGTTTCCACATTAACTCTTATAACGGTATCTGTATGGCAGAAGTCCAAACAGTTTGTTTGTTTGTTTCTAATTAAGCACAAAGCTATACAATGGGCTATCTGTGATCTGCCCACCACGGGTATCGAAACCCGAATTCTAGCGTTGTAACTTCGCAGACATACCGCTGTACCACTGGGGGGGGGGCGTTCCAAACAGTGACCCAACCTTAACTTTTATGACAGTATCTTTATGGCAGAGGTTCCTAAACAGTGACCCAACCTTAGCTTTTATGATAGTATCTGTATGGCAGAGGTTCCTAAACAGTGATCCAACAGACAATCTTATTATAGTAATTATGTTGTTAATAACCTCGTAAGTAATTTATAAACATCATACACATTAAAAACACTTCACTAGCAAGTTTCTTATTTTCCTTTTTAACAGATTTTATAGCTCGCTTATGCCTAGTGGTTAACATGCCGGGCTTCAGATCAAAAGGTTCAAAGTCTGAACTGCAGTATGCCTCCGAACATTGTCAACCGCGGAAGTGTTAAAAAATAACATCCAAGTAACAGGAGCTGTTGACTGGTTGTCCTTCTTCTGGTCAGCCGTCCTAAACTAAGGTATGGATATGGCTGAATCTAGAGGGGGTGGGGTCTAATGGTTGTGTAAGCTACTGTTCATGAAAGGTGTATATAAATGTTCAATATAGGTGAATCTAAGGAAATTTAAATGGTAAGTTTCAGGAAAAAATTAGAAACACCTGCCATATGACATTTTTAGAACCATAATAAGGTTTTTAGTTTTGAAATGTTTCATTACCCTTATGGAAACGCACGTCAATTGCTTGGCTGCTTTGACCCAAAGTATTCGTCACTTCTAAGATGTAGAGACCTTCGTGTGCTTGTGTGGCTCTAAGGAACTCTAAGTAACCTGAGATAAACATAATTTATCAACTCATATTGCATTATACACAATTATATAAATTTAGTTTTCTTAAATAGAAATATCTTTATTAATATATACAAATATTTCGTTAAATATAAATATTGAATAACTTAAAATAAAGGTTTGAAATCTACCTAACAAACAGACATAGCTTCATTATGTTTTAGCTATAATTTATGTTAGAGACTTAAGCTAAGTAATAGATAAAATTAACAGGATAAGAATTAACGGGTTTATTTAGTCGAACTGTCTAAGTGTGAAGTTCACAACAGTTAACTCTGTTGCGACTTCCTTCATTATAATCCAAAATCAATTATATCCATGAATTGTGTCCCCAAACATAATTTCATCACAGACTTTTATCTATTTCGAGAATTTGTTCATTACAATCATTTCAAACAATTTCACTTGTCAATCCCAACGACGATACTAACTCCTTTGTTATCAGAATTTATGTTATCAACCTCAGTAACGAAGCTAACTCCTTTGTTATCAAAATTTATGTTATCAACCTCAGTGACGAAGCTAACTCCTTTGTTATCAACATTTATGTTATCAACCTCAGTAACGAAGCTAACTCCTTTGTTATCAAAATTTATGTTATCAACCTCAGTGGCGAAACTAACTCCTTTGTTATCAAAATTTATGTTATCAACCTCAGTGACGAAGCTAACTCCTTCGCCATCAACATTCATATGGTGTTATCAACTTTTGTGACTAGGCTAATTTCTTCATCATCAACATTAGTGTGTTATCAACCTCATTGACAAGGCTAACTACTTCATCATCAACATTCATGTGGCATTATCAACCTCGGTGACGAGGATAACTCCTTTGTCATCAACATTCGTGTACTATTAACCTCAGTAGCGAGGCAAAGACCCTCGTTATCAACATTGATGCTTTATCAACCTCAGTGACGAGGCTAACTACTTCGTCATCAACATTCATGGTGTATTAACCTCAGGGGCGAGGCAAAGACCCTCGTAATCAACATTGATGTGTTATCAACCTCGGTGACGAGGCTAATTCCTTGGCCATCATGCAGTCTTCAAGGGTTATCAACCTAAATAGCGAAGCAAGCTCTTGGCCATCAACTTTCATGGGTTATAAACTTCAATAGCGAGGCAAACCTGTTGACCATCAACCTTTATGTGTTATCAACCTCTTTGAGTTATCAACCTAAGTGAACCAACAAATATCTTAAGCCATCACCCTCTTTTAATCTTTTATTCCCTTTGTCCATTAATCTTCTCGGGCTTGATGATCCTTCACTCTATGGTACTTAAGCACAGATTATCCTTAATAGCCTTCCATCTAATGTTGCAAAATAAACCTATTGAACTATAATGTTCTTAAACTGTTCACAACGTTTCGCTTTTTTTTTAATATGACTACTAAACTTTTGTTTCAAAATATATTTCCAGTATAAAGTTATCAAAATTAGAGTATAATCTAGTAAATATGTGTTTACGAAGTTATCTTGTAAAATTCGCTCTTTTCTTATTAACTTGAGTGTCCGAAAATGATTCACGAGGTTATTATTTTACTTTGTTCTGAAAATTAATAAGATTGTATAATTGTCAATAAATAAACACTAGGTGTAAGTTCTAACAAAATAAAACACACCTTGGAATGTGATCAACTTGTTTTTGTGTTTCTATTTCAATGATATCGACAACACTACTGATGTCAAATCGTTGAATATCTAGGACAATATATTTATTAAATATTAGACTTTCCTCCAATGTTTTGTTTGTTTGTTTGAAGTTAAGCACAAAGCTACAGAATCGGCTCTCTGTGCTCTGTCCACCACGGGTATCAAAACCCGATTTCAAACGTTGTAAGTCCGCAGACTTCTATTCTACTCAAATAGAATATCCATGCGAAACTTTGTCTCTTGTTAAAAGATGAAGCGAGATTTTTTTTTATGGAAAAGTTCCGTTTGTATATCTGTATACTATATTTTCTATACTTTATTCGATTTGATATTTAAACCAAGTCGGCTTCTTGTGAATGTGTTTGTAACCTAGAAAACTATTCGTATATATTGATATCATTGCTTATAAGTTATTTAGTATATGATGAATTTAAAGAGATTGTCTTCTAATAGTGTCGTAATGTTTAAAAGGGTGGCATGATGACATGAATGTAATGCGCCATATAAGATGCACCAGTTATAAAAAATACACGTGCGTTTATGAATATTTATATATATAGTTTATATTTATAGGTCTTTTTTTAAAATACATTTGAGTAATTTTGTAGCATTTTCAACTTATAGAGTCACAGATGTCCAAGAAATCACGATAGAGGAATACGTTCTGTTAAATCCCAGGGGTTGTTTGGTAATCTTAGAGCAAATCCACATTGGGATATCTGCTGTGTCTACCGCGGGGAATCGAATCCCTGATTTTAGCGTTGTAAGTCCGTAAACGTACCGCTGATCCAACGGGGACATGCCAGGGGGTAAAAAGTTATTTTAGCTTTCATAGTAAACACATTAAATTAAAGTTTAATTGAATATCCTTGTGTAATCACATCTGATGAAAGACAAGTGCTGAAATGTGTAATACCTGAGGATGAAACATACGCAGGCTACTTTAAAATGAAGTTCCTGCAATTACCAATATGATTAATTAAACATGTAACCTACGGCATTGAAATTCTACAAATACCCTAAAATATATGGCTGTGTCGTCAATCAGTTATAAATAGAAATTATGAAAATACTCGACAATATAGTTGGAGCATACAATCTCAACTTGAACCTTACATTAAAGGAAAGCAAAAAAAAGGACCAATATTGTAGCTGGTTTTCAGTTTTCAATGGTCTATTTTACGTTAGTTTAACCAATCATTATCTTTACATTTACACAGCTTGTGTTTTCACGTTTACACAATCAGTATCTTTACCGGACTGATTACAATTGAAAAACATGTTAAAGAAAGTCCTGAATGTTGACTTCTTCTTAAAGGAAAAGAAGGTTATTCACGTTAGTCTTCAGTTGGTAAATTTCTATATGGGAAAACAAGTTACTACAAACGAGGAAACCTCTCACTGGGGGCTTGTTTCTAGGAACTGAGTTTCTCGCAATCTTGTACGGTATCATATTTTATCACAAAGTTAGGTTCTCCCTGTCAACAAAGAAGTTTTAGTATGTCAAATTATTTCCAAATATTGAGTATTAAACGTTGGAAAACATTTTTGACTTTTATTTTAATTTGATATTTCGCTTAGTTTTACTAAGAAATATTCGTAGAGCTTAAAAAAACACTTCCTTTAGTTTTAATTTCATACAAAATAGTTATTTTAAATGTTACTGGTTTCTGTAATTAGCTCACACTTTGAATTAATTTTAATAATCCTACTCGTTATGTATCAGGATAACATAGTTAGCTCCATCATCAATATTGAATTTAATCCAAAACTCAAGTATTATATATAGATATGATGACAAAACTGTGACAATTCTGAACACGGATTACCTTTGATTATAAGTTAAAACCAGTAACACGTAAATACTGACCTAAAAGTATAAGCTTATAATATTAATGGCATAACATTTAGCTCGAGTTTCTCTCGTGTATTAATATTACACATGAGTTAGTTACGAATAAAAAAGTTTTAGTAAAAAAATTGTATTTAGATCTCATTTCAACAGAATCTTAATGATATAGTCTGTCTAACGTTGTAAGTTGGATATGAAGCCGTTTAGTTTCAGTAAAGAAAAAAAACTTAATTACGACACAAAAATTCTCATTCTCATGTAATAACTACTTTTATCACCTGGGATAAGAACCTCAACGTTCCGTCTCATGAGTGAGTGCTAAAACACAGAAATCTTAATGAAATAGCATGCTCATTATATACTGCTATCTACAAACTTCATTAAACTACCATAAGTTAAAAAAGAACACTATGGAATTCACATTCTTTCAGTCATAACACTATTAAACGTTTCAGCGCCCAATATATTTCAAGAGTAAGACACGAGTCGGGTTTCACACGGAAACAGGATTTTTTATTTCACTAAAGGGAAAAAAGGATTTGTTTTAGAATTTATTGATATGAATTACGTTTTGCGACTTACATATATTATATATATATATAAAGTTCCATATATTATATTATATATATATGTAAAGTTCCATATATTGTATTATATATATATATATATGTAAAGTTCCATATATTGTATTATATATATATATATGTAAAGTTCCATATATTGTATTATATATGAAGTTAATTAAGAATATGCTAAATAATGTAGTGAATCGATCGAAAACATTTAATTCGCTCACTATACGTAAAGTAATAGTTGTTCTCCAAGAACGGGTACCTGACCCGAAATAGTGTTTTTAGGGGAGGGGATGAGATAGATTTAATTTTTTTTTACACGGTCTTAACAGTTATCCCAGAATATTAGATAAACGTAGCCTGGGTTAAATAATCAAGAGCTTTGGTGGTCATTATGTCAACTATTTCAGACTATCTTTCTGGCTGCCAGTTCTATTTGTTGAAATAGAAATAACCTATACCCAATCGAACCGATCATCGCGTCTTTCAGAGCTTAGTTGAGGAAATATAAATATGAGAAAATTGTAGCCTGTATTTTGTATACAGTTAGAGGTAAGAGAATAGAGTAATTTAAAATATGAATGTCCACAAACACGCGTAATCAAATGTGTCATGAATTTACAATGACATTTTAGAGATTTATGTATAGACATGTTAACTACAGGTATACAAATTCATATGTACTGTGACATTTGGAATTTAGATAGAGTATTAACCCTACATTATCATTATATTTTATATATATATGTATGTATACCCAAGACTAACTTTTAAAAACAAAATATTATAACTCATAAAAACCTTCTCACTCAAATAATGAACACAGATAGTAAACGTTCACTGATTCACCTGCTATCCTGTACTGGTCTAAATAAGTAAGTGTTTCTTTGAGATTATTAGAAAAATCCACTGGTTCGTCATTGAAAAACCAGGATCGGGTAGGCTGAGGGGAACCAGTGACTTCAAAGTCAATTCTCCAGTAGAATCCACGATCTGTCTTTAAAACCTTGATCCTTGGCGGTGCTAAAAACAGAAAACGATGTTAGCTGGTAGGAGAAAATAAAAGTAATATAAATTTCAGCCAAAGTTTGATTTGCACTTCAAAATTAATTACTTTGATATTTTTTTTTACTTCTGAATCAAATTATCTGGGGATATGATGAGTTAGAAGATATTAACTTGTCATCTTAAAACTTCATATACAGAAAGAGAGAACAATCTACGAGAGAAAGAATATGAGAGAAATTAACAATGTTTAGTCAAGGAAAAATTAGACTTAAGGAACTATTGTTTAGACATGGGAAAGATTAGATTCAAGGTACCAGTTCTTAAACACGTAGAATATTAGACTTAAGGAACTATTGTTTAGACATGGGGAAGATTAGATTCAAGATACCAGTGTTTAAACACAGAGAATATTAGACTTAAGAAACTATTGTTTAGACATGGAAAAGATTAGATTCAAGATACCGGTGTTTAAACACGGAGAATATTAGACTTAAGAAACTATTGTTTAGACATGGAAAAGATTAGATTCAAGATACCGGTGTTTAAACACGGAGAATATTAGACTTAAGAAGCTATTGTTTAGACATGGAAAAGATTAGATTCAAGATACCGGTGTTTAAACACGGAGAATATTAGACTTAATGAAGCTATTGTTTAAACATGGGAAAGATTAGATTCAAGGTACCAGTGTTTAAACACGGAGAATATTAGACTTAATGAATTATTGTTTAAACATGGTGAAAATTAGATTCAAGGTACCGGTGTTTAAACAACGAGAATATTAGACTTCATGAACTATTGTTTAGACATGGGAAAGAGTATATTCAGGGTACCGGTGTTGAGATATGGAGAAGATAAGCTTCAAGGAACATTCTTCAGCCAATAAAAATTATATATCAGGTAAAACTCTACAAACTGCTAGGACAAGAAGATTAATGCTACTGTTTCGACAAGGTAAATGTTAAGTTAAATTTATCGTTTAGACAAGGAGAAGATTATACTTAAAGTGGCACTGTTGATATTGAGATAAAGAAAATATTAACTTCGAGCAGCCAAGTCTTATAGTATAACTCATTATTTTTATTATCTAAACAGTGGTACATTGAGCTTGATCTTTTCAGTTATTAGTTGTATTTTATTAGACATTTTGTATTCGATATTTTTTCACGTGAAAGTTTTGTTGGTTTATTATTTAGTAACTGATGGTCTGCTAGTGTGGTTTACTGTTTAAAGATCAAGTAACAATCTGTGAGGGTTTAGCAGTTTGGTGAATGATGATTTATTAGACACAGGGATAAAGAGTGGTAGCCGGACATTGAACAAGATCTCCATATTTTTCAATTCTGACACGTTATCTCTAACTACATTGATTCTACTCGGCTATCATTTTAGTATAAATAAAGCACGATGGAAGCTATTAATCTACCCACATCTTATCCTTAGGTGAAGGAAATTGGTTTTTCTGCCAACAATATTCTCTGCTGTACAAAAAATCCGCCCGTTGTCCTCTGGATCGGCTCCTTGAAGATTTAGAATGACTGTAACATTCTCCATGCACAATGTGGCATTAGATTCCCCTTGATCAGCCACTTGGCTTTGCCAAACCTCAATAGAATGATTTGAGTACAATTTGGTAGTATTCCAGTAGACCATTGGTGATGGATGACCTGTTGCTTCACAGACAATGGATACTGTCTCGTTCTCGTAGACATCTACTTCTTTAGGGTACACTTCAATTTCAGGGAGATCTGCAAAACATTAATTACAATCTATGCACCTGTTGTTGTTGTTGTTTCTGTTTTTTGTTTTTTTAGGGAGGATTAAAAACTCGTCTTATGCAACTATAACTGTTTATACCGTCTAACAGTAATCTCAATGGACGTTTTCAAAATTAATTTCCCAGTAACTCTGTCTGCTCACGTAAAGCAACCGAGCAACTAAAAAAAACCTGCTCTAGTGCTTTCACTGCCTTACTTGGTATATATGGAAATATTTTAAGATATTAGAACCAAAACCATCGTTTAGAACCAAAACCATCAAACATTATATTTTTATTCTTTTTATTTGCGCGTAGATGTTTTATTTGTTTGATATTGATTACTAGTTGGCAGTTTGCGAATATTAGTCACAGGCTAGGTGAAAAACTCTGTTGGTTGTTTGATGATTGACGATTTAGTTGATGTGTGAATTGATGGTGTTAACTGGACATGAAGTAAAAACCTACACAACCATTTAAATCTAACATGAGCCTTAAACAAATATAAGGTCGAATCTAACTGTTTCATTAGTCATCCACTATTTTTAACATACGTGTAGTTGTTAAAGAGCAACCACGTGTTTAACTTTTACTCTTACTCTGATAAAGAATTCAAGTGAAATTACTGTCCCTCCCTTCCCTTCCCCAAGCCTAGGTTCGAATTCCGTAATCGAATATGCTCGCCCTTTCAGAGGTGAGGACGTTATAATGTGACGATCAATCTCATTTTTATTTGGTAAAATAGTAGCCGTAGAGTTGGCGGAAAGTGATGTTGACTAGCTGCCTTCCCTCTAGTCTACCACTTCTAAATTGGAGAAGGATAAGGCAAATAACCCTCGAGTACCTTTGCGCAAAATTCGCCAAACAAACAGATCCCTCCCTGTCGGTGACTCAGCGGCAAGCTAGACGGCTTATAACGATAAAAATCGTGTTTTGACACCCGCGGTGGTCAGAGAGTCCGTTGTGTAGTTTTGTTATTGTTTATGTTTCTTTAAGACGGATAACATGCTAAAAATGCTCAAATTATGTTCTCAATATAGGTACCTTCCTTAAAAAAATAATATTTGCTAAAGTAACTTGCTGATATTTTTTCCATTCGAATTTTGATTGATAAGGTAGAAAACAAATGCAAAATATTTGGAAAAAGAAACATTCGCTAGAAAAAACATTATAATTACCGTGAATTTTATCGAATATTGGAAAAATATGTTCTAATAAACAGTTATAAGAAATATCTCTGAAATTAAAATTCTGAATAATGTGTAAGATGTATTATTTACTGAAAATACTTCATTGGAAGTTTTTACTAGAATTCAAGAACGCTGTCAGTTATATCAAAAACTTAGTCAAACGAAATATAAACAAAATAGATAAAATATAAACGATTAATAATTACGGAGAAATGCATATAAAAACCATAATTTTGTGATTTTAACCACAAATTAATTTAACTGTGGCTCAGCGGAAGAGTGGCAAATATTCCCATTGTCTTGTTTTTGTTTGTAGCCACTCAGCTGTTAAAAACAAAAACATACGTGTTAATCTGACGATTAAACCTTTATCAGTCTTACTAGTTGCCCAGCTTGCATCTTTGTATATCTGATAGAAAGAATTTCATGACTTTTAGTTTTAGTTTTAGTTAATCACGTGCTGTGAGTTTGTGGTAATTTCTAGCTTTATATATTCGTGAGTTAACTGATCAAGCTTATTAGCTCCACGGGTTATCCAAGCACTTTTAAATCACAGAACAAAAACAAAAATACGATTCCTTCTGTAAAGAAGTGAGCGTCACACAAATCACTGTGATATTAATTACAAGTCCAATTTTAATATGTTAGGCAAATGTTATCTTAACGTAACTTTTCATGGTCGCTGAATATTCGTAGTACTGCAGAACTTCAAAAGACTAACGATAGTATATCAATCAGTTAATCCCCCAGCACTCTAAACGCGCCTATTACTTAATTATTACTTGAAACCATCGATACGTGAGGAAACTTCATAATTACAGAATTGAGGAAAGCATGATGATGCCTTTACTGGCTAAACCATGGTCGTAATAAAATAAATGTCTGTGAAACGTACAATTATCTTTGTTTTTATCAATTCTGTTACATGTATTATTGCCTCCATCATTTGTGTTCTTCTTCACTAATTCAAGCTTTTACAGACCTATTTTCTCAAATATTTTTGAAGTAACATAACGAGATTTTGAGGTTTCTCCTCTTAATAATCTTTGAAAATGGATTGCTAGAAACATAAGGATTCATAAGTTAAGATAACCATTTATTAGATGAGCAAATTCTTCCTTACAAGGAATAGGTTCCTCGTACAAGGACATTTTAGATAAGTAAATATATCAGTACAGGCAACCTTACCACAACCAGATATAGATATATTGGCCAAAGACCACTTTTTTTTCAGATTATTTTCTTCCACACATGTGATCTGATCTCCCAAGGGCCCTAACATGCTAGATGACTGATACATCTGGTGTTGAATCCATTTAGCGCTGCAGTTACAGACGATCGGGTTTCCTTTGATATTTCTGAAAAGAGAAAATTAAAATTAGCTTTTAAAATAATTTCTATGTGAGCTATAAAATACACAAAATAGTGAAGCCCAATTAAAACAGTATCAGTTGAATTAAGATCTCTAATAATGAAGTGTTACTGGAGAGGGATTCACTTTACCCCGAAGCTTTCTATTATAAGCATATTTCCATTTTGGTTTAATGAACGTTATTTGAAAAATTAAGAACAACTAGATATTATGAGTAACATTTTACATCCGCACATATCGCAACACAAACAAAACATAAATTTCAAAACCAACACGTTCACCAAAAGTAAATCCTCACATAATAATCTGTCATACTTTTTCCAACAATGTTACTTTTTATCTGGACAAAGGAATGGAGGCAAACTTTGTGAACTTAGTGTTTTGAAAACATTAACTAAAAAATATAACATCTGTAGGAGTTGAGGAAAAGCTAGTTAATTGAATGGGAAAAAGCAAAATGTTCTAATTAGTGGAGATCATGCAAAATGTACTATTGTTACTTAGTGGAGTCTCTGAGACCTTAGTTCTTTCCTTATTTGTGTTAATGATACTGATATAACGAGTAATTTAGTAAAATTTGTTGATAACATTAAATTCTTGGGCACGTCTAGACGTATTAACGATGTTCAGGTATTTCAGAATGACTTGGATGAACTTATAAGCCAGACGAATATACAACATATGACCTTTGATTATAGTAAGTATAAGATAATGCATTTGGGTTATTACAATTTGGATCAGACATTTATATAGATGGGAATTCACTCAGTAGAGTAAATGAAGAAAATTATATTAACATAGTGGTAGATAAGTCACGTAAGCCAACAATCAGTGCTCTGTTGTTACTGGTAACGCTAATAAGATTGTAATGTATATTTATTGATATACTGATTACAAGTCAAGAGATATCCATATTTCTCTGTACAAATCGTTAGTAATCCCTCACTTGGCTTACTGTGTACAGATTTGGTCTCCTTATCTAAGAAAATGTATTGGATTAATGGAAAGGGTTCAGAGAAATGCTACCAGTCTGATTCCAGATTAGTCTTATTATGGTTAAGATAACTTGTTTTATCTTGAGAAAAGAAAGGTAAGATTTTATTGAAGTTTATGAGATTACTTGGGTGATTGATATAGTAAAAGCCAGTGGTTTCTTTGTGATATATTTTGAAGATTGTTTTTGTTTGAAGTTAAGCACAAAGCTACACAATGGGCTATCTGTGCTCTGCCCACCATGGGTATCGAAACCCGGTTTCTAGCGTTGTAAGTCCGCAGATATACCGCTGTGCCACTGGGGGGTATTCTGAAGATAAAAGGACGAGAAATCACAAGTTTAAGATTTTGGAAAAAATAACGTAGGCTCCAATATAGAAATATTTATTTTTCTACCACGATGGTTGAATTATAGAATGAGTTGCCTTCGTCAGTAGGTAAGGATGGCACTTTACAGAATTTAAGAAAGAATTGACATTGTCCGGAAAAATAACGAGTGGGTTTAAATATTTTAATTTTTTTTTACATTTTAACGCCCCCCCCCCCAGTGGCACAGCAGTACGTCTGCGAAATTACAACGCTAGAAACCGGGTTTCGATACCCATGGTGGGAAGAGCACAGATAGCCCATTGTGTAGCTTTGTGCTTAACTTCAAAACAAACAAACTTTTCTTAACAGTGAGTGTGCAAGAAAGAACCTTGAAAAATCAAATGGTCACTTGTCCAGATATTGTTATGCTGTGAAAAGTGACAAAGAAAATGGAAAGGTTCGAGTTTGTAACGACTTTTATTAATGGTGCTTTGAGCTAGTTTTGTGAGGTAACAATCATTGTCCAGAAATATCATAGTTAAAGACTGTTAAAATAAGTCAGTAAAGTATATATACATATCCTATAGAATCTAGAAATTCCACTGTTTAACAATCTGACCAGTTCTTCTAATGAGTAAGGTATATTCACAAAACTAAACACTATCCTTGATGAATATTTTTGAAGAAATATTTAAACAGTGAAATGCAACATCTGATAAATTCCACAAAAATAGTATTGCGTTAAACTTAACCTCACATTCTAAATTCGGTGTGATGCATGCTGAATAACTATGATCATGGCATTACGTAGTTGTTAAGCGCAAAGCTACACAGTGGGCCGTCTTGTGGTCTGCTCATCACGGGTAGCGAAACGCTATCTTTTAGCGCTGTAAGCCCTCAGAATCACCGCTGAGCCATCGGGGGCATAGTTTTATGTAACTATGATATTAAGTTAGTAACTCAGAATACTTGTGTTTTGATAATAATCCAGGATTGGGAAACGTGACCAAAGAAGCTAGACGTCATATAAATCAAATACAATATATTAAAAAGATCACTGAAGATAACAGTAATATTTCCATGTACCAATTTAAAATATATAACACTTTCCAATATTTGTGCATCTGCCTTCAATGATTAAAGTAAAATTAAAACTGGCTTTACTGAATTGAAAGCTTCGCTGTCTCTATCAGATGAACAAGAGTATCGAGTCATATTAGCTCGTTTTTGCTTAAAGAAATTTTCCTAAACAACGCACGTCGAACAATACATCTAAACAAACAGTCAACACTTGTTCAAAGCAGATGCTGAAGCCACGAATATTCTATTTCAATTTATACTACACCTGAGCAATCACACCTGCATCACCATCAATTCTCGTATTAAAGAAATTCTCGACGTCAAAGCAAGCTGCTGAAGACTTTAAGCTAAAATATAAAATTACATCTGAATATTTACGTACACATTACTACCATCCATTGCCTCGAGAAAATAATGATGTTAAACAAACTACTCAGGATATTCACCTAAAATTTAAATTAAAGCTGAATATTTCCAACTTTTTTAATCAACAAGCATTGTGCCGAAAAATCTCGATGTTGGAGCAAGATGCGTGGGATATTTAATTAAATTTTAAATTATACATAAATGTTTTTGTCTAAATAAAGATCAAATATTTCTCACAAATTATTCAAATGATCTTATTGTATACATTAGACTGGAAACATAGCATTTGCACAAATACTTACATTTCAACGACCCTCAGTCCTTGCTCTAAGAAAAGCGTCCACGGTAGATAGGATATATTATTGTTTCGAAGGTTTCTACAAAAAAAAACATACAAATGTGAAAAGAAATAACGTATAGTTAGAAGATAAAAGCTGCATCGTTTTAGAGCAAATCCTGTTCGAATTTCGAAACAAAAAATGTTTACAAATATCTAGTTATTCTCTATACTGTTTGTTACAGCTAGTTTGTTATTACTCGTTTCAGTTTGCTTGACTCGCTCTGTAGGCTTAGTGTAAACCTGTAACTCTTGTTACAGGATTTCAAGCAATCGAATTCAAATAAAAGAAGTAAGAAATTATCCCAATGGATACTTGTTTACTTAAATTTTGTTTCTACCAAAAACATTCCGTCAAAATATTTTTTTTCAAACTGTATGCTTTTATTGAAGAGATGAATAAATTTCTAACTCGAAATAATCAATATTATAGTGGATACTTACACTTCTTTTAGCATCCTCAACTGGTTAAAGGTTTGAGGGGAAAGATAGCGAAGGCTTGTGTTCTGTACAGTTCTGGAAATTCAAATTATAAATAATGAATTCGAAAATAATTTCATTGCTCCTAGATAACCTTAATTTATGATAAGCAATAAATATTAAATAAATAATTCTGTGCTATAATCTAATCTGATTAAGCTAAGCACTAACTGATCTTATATAATATTAGATCATGCTCGTGTAAGATTGTCTATTCGTTTTAAAACGCAAAGCAAAACAACGAGTTATTTTCACTGTGTCCACCGCGGGTATTAAACCTTGATTTTTAGCGTTATAAATCCTCAAGCTTACCGCTGATCCACCGGAAGGTGTTTAAGATAGCGTAATAAAATATCAAAGAAGAAACATGATTCAAAATAAGAGATTACTCTAATACAAAAGTATTTATAGTTTATTTTTTTGTAGATTTCACTTGCTTGTTTAAACAAAAAACTTTTCGCTGAACTCATCACAAATCCTGAAACATTTAGAGTTATAAGCTCTTAAGGTTATTACTGAACCGTCAGAGAGTTTTCACAAAAGAATAGATTTTCAAAGGATAATATAGCACAATAGTTAATACTTTTGACTGAATAACAAGATACAAATTTCAAGCTTTTTTTCCCCTAATAATAAAAAGTAAAACGCATGGCAAAATATTCTACATGTAATTGTGGGTTTTAGCTTTAGGGTTTTTTTTTTTT